AGTCCAGAGATTCTCCCACCTTTGAGGGAGGCCCCTCCTCCCCATGGAGCAGGATCCTGAACCTGCCCATTCCTGGTATATGTTCCCTTTTCCACTTCTGACCTCTACAACTGGGAAACCCAGAATCCGCCGTTCTCTGAGAAGCCCCAGGTTTTGGTTTCCCTGATAGAGTCGATCTGTAGGACTCATCTACTGACCTGGGCTGACTGTCAGCAGTTGTTATTGGCCCTGCTCACTGCTGAGGAGAGGGACAGGATGAGGTCTGAAGCTAGGAAGCTCTTGTGTTTGGGGGGCGCTCAGAAGAACAGGCCCACGAATTGCTGAAGCAAGGTTCCCCTCAGAGTGGCCTGAATGGGATCCAAATTCCTCAGGGAGGAGGCAGGCTTTACTCACCTTTCATCAAAACTTGTTAAACAGGATTCGAGCAGCAGCTCAGAAACCCATAAGTCTGTCAAAACCACTGAAGTGACACAGGGCCCAGAGGAGTCCCCCAGTGCGTTCCTGGAGAGACTCAGAGAGCCCCTCCGGGTTTATATCCTGTTCAACCCCTCTGCTCCAGAAAACAGTAGAGCTATAAATTTGGCTTATGTTGCTCAGTCTGTACCTGATATTAGGAGAAAATTACAAAAATTGGAGGGATTCCCAGGAATGAACACATCTCAGCTGTTAGAAGTAGCTCAAAAGGCATTTGACAGTAGGGATTCAGAAAGACAAAAATTGGCCACAGCCATGGCTGAGCAGTCGGCAAAGAAACAAGCAAAGATCTTGGCAGTAGCCATTAGAGGGGACCCCGTGGGACCCAACTCCAGGAAGCCCACAGGGTGGATGCCTAGAGAGCCAGGAGGACACCGTCATTGGGCAGAAATCAGTGCACCTTCTGCAAGGAGGAAGGGCCCTGGAAAGATGAATGCCCCCACAGGCCCTCTGCTAAGGTGCTATCTCTCCCCAGGTCCAGGGGAGAGAAACATTCAGACTGAGGAGGCCAGGGCTCCTTCCTCTTGGTCCCCAGGACCCCATGGCAAATGTTGAAGTAGGGGCTAACAAGTCCGTTTGCTGGTGGACACTGGTGCCAAGAGGTCAGTATTAAAAAATCCCTGGGAAAGCTTTCATCACAAACCGTTCCCATCCAGGGGGCCACAGGAGCTGTCCAAAAGTGCCCACTCACAAGTGAGCGATGGTGAGCCTGGGATCAAAACAAGTTACTCACTCTTATCTGGTGATACCAGATTGCCCTTTCCCCTTGCTGGACCTTCCTCATAAGCTAAAGGCCACCATCTCCTTTACTCCAACCAAGGCTCAGATGTCACTCCCTTTATACCACTTGTCTTTGACCACCGCCCTGTATGAGGAGTACCTCCTTTCCAGGGAACACAACCCAGAAGAAATAAGCCCTAGTGGCTTATTGGACAGACTTCAGGCCAAGTTCCCAAAGGTGTGGGCAGAAACCAGCCCACCAGGCTTGACTGTCCACCACACCCCAGTGACAGTCAAGCTATTGTCGAGAGCCGTGCCTGTGTGAGTTCGACAATACCCCACCTCTCGAAAGGCCAGACAGGGGATAGCCCCTCACATTAAGAGGTTAATGGACTTTGGGATATTAACTCCCTGCAAGTCTCTGTGGAACACCCCATTCCTACCAGCACAGAAACTGGGGACATCAGAATACAGGCCGGTTCAGGACTTGAGAGAAGTTAACTGGCCAGTGGTAGCTCTGCATCCTACTGTCCCCAACCCCTATACTCTCCTGAGTTTGCTGTCTCCTTAGCACCAAGTGTATATTGTGCTAGATTTAAAGGATGCTTTTTTAGTGTGCCCTTGCCCCAGCCAGCCAGCCTATCTTCACTTTTGAGTGGACTGATCCAGTTTCCAGCAACTCCTGCCAGCTCACGTGGACACGGCTGCCTCAAGGATTAATAAATGCACCCACCCTGTTCGGTGAGGCCCTCCAGAAGGACTTGGTGAGTTTTTGATCCAACCACCCTAACCTCACCCTGCTTCGATATGTGGATGATTTGTTATTAGCTTCTACTAGCTATTCAGAATGCCTGCGGGGGCCGCAAGAGCTTCTTCATTTACTAGAGGAGTTGGGCTACCATGTAACAGCCAAGAAGGCACAACTCTGTGCCCCTAAAGTATTGTATATGGGGTATGAAATCTCAGAAGGAAGAAGATGTCCCAGGCCAGGAAAAGAGCCATCCTCCAGATACCCACACCAACTACCAAGAAACAGGTACAAGAATTCCTAGGTGCAGCTGGATACTGTCACCTATGGATGCCTGGGTTTGCTGAGATAGCATGGCCACTCCATTCTTCCGTGGGAGGAAATCAATCCCTAGAATGGGGAATAGATTAATAAAAAGCCTTCCAGGATCTGAAAAGAGCTTTGGTATAAGCTCCAGCTCTGGCACTACCAGATGTTACTAAGCCTTTTCATCTATTCATCCATGAGGTAAGAGGGATCGCTAAGGGAGTCCTTACACAGTCCTTGGGACCCTGGAAGTGCCCTGTGGCCTATCTCTCTAAAGGAGTAGATCCTGTGGCCTCAGGATGGCCTTCATGTCTTCGGGCAGTAGCTGCCACAGCTTTATTGGTCAAGGAGGCTGATAAGTTGACCCTCAGACAGGACCTAGTCCTAACTGCCCCTCATTCAGTAAAGACTCTGCTCGGGGGGGCTACTAACAAATGGATGTCAAATGCCGGCCTCACTCAACATCAAAGCCTCTTGCTCGACCAGCCTCACATCATCTTCTCAGCAGGGCTGGTCCTCGATCTGGCTACATTGATACTGGATGATAACCCAATTCACGACTCTGAGGAGGCGCTGGACCAGACTCAGGGAGCTGATCAGACTTAACAGACACCCCCTTGGCTGAGGCAGATGCCATCCTCTTCACAGATGGAAGCAGCATGGTGGTAAGTGGGGTGCAGAGGGCAGGACCTGCAGTAACTACAGTTGACCAAGTCACTTGGGCCCAGCCTCTGCCCAAGGTGACCTCGGCCCAAAAGGCAGAACTTATTGCCTTGCCCCAGGCGTTGAGACAGGGAAAGGAAAAGAAGATAAATGTGTACACTGACAGTAGGTATGCCTTTGCTACTCTACATGTACATGCAAGCATCTACAAGGAGAGAGGGCTTCTGACAGCTGCAGGAAAGACTGTCAAGAACAAAGAGGAGACATTGTCTCTCCTAGAGGTGGCATGGCTTCCCAAGAAGGTAATCGTCATTCATGTACAGGGTCACCAAAAGGACAATACACTCAAGGCTAAGGGAAATCAACTTGCAGACTGTGCAGCCAGAGAGGCAGCCCTGAGGCCAGCTGAACCCTTAGTCATCCTGCCTACTGTGAGTCCTCCTCCCCCTTTGCTCCGGACTAGCCCCACTTACAGTGAAGAGGAAGATAAAGAATCAAGGCAGCTGCAAGCAAAGAAAGACCCCCAAGGCTGATGGAAATGTCCAGATGATCGGATCTATGTCCCTGGGCATTAGGATAACAGCTCATCCAGCAGCTGCATTTGGTCATGCACCTGGGGGGCTCCAAGATGGCTGGGCTTCTAGCTCAAATTACTGCTTTACAAAGCTGCAAGAGCTGGCCCACCAGACCTGTCTTAGGTGCCCAAGCTGTGTACAGATAAACCCTCACCAGGGCCCATCTGCACCCCTTGGGGTCAGATTCTGGGGTAGGAAACCTGGAGAACACTGGGAAGTGGATTTCACAGAGATCAAACCACCAGCCGGTGGCTATCACCGCCTCCTGGTTTTCATCGATAACTTCTTAGGTTAGACAGAGGTCTATGCTACTCTGTGGGAGACTGACACTGTGGTGGCAAAGAAACTTCTTCAGGAATTTATCCCCAGATTTGGACTACTGGTGTCCACTGGATCTAACAACGGCCCCGCCTTTGTAGCTTCTATAACTCAGTCAGTATGGCACTGGTTATAAATTGGAAACTCCACTGAGCCTACCGACCCCAAGGCTTGGTGAAGGGTGGGTCAGCCTGCTGCTGTTGGCTGTCCTTAGAGTTAGATTGAACCCCTTATAAAGCAGGGTTTACTCCTTATGAAATTATGTTTGGAAGACACCCTCCCCTGCTCCCCAAGGTTAAAAGTGAGGTACTAGAAGAACTTTCTAACCAGTCTCTCCAACAGGTACAGAAAACTGTTCACTCCCAGGTATGAGCTACTCAGCCCCTGCCCAGTTCTACACCATGCCACCTGTTTCAGCCCAGGGATACTGTCTTCATCAAGGCCTTTCAGAGTGAAGGACTGGCTCCAGTCTGGAAGGGACTCTACATGGTCATCCTCATGATGCCCTCAGCTCTCAAGGTTGACAGAATCTCGACGTGGGTTCAACATTCGAGTGTTAAGCAGGTGAAAGAGTAGACTGCTGAGCTGGGACCTGGTCATTTAAAGCAAAGGCTAGTCCAATCATGAGTGTGACACTTGTCCTTATTATCCTTGGGGTGACGAGGCTGAACTCTGGGGAGATGCAATAAAGAGTGTTGTACTCTTTTTCCTCACCTCCTTTAGCTCTTGAGAAATTCTAGGCAATGTCACTTCTGGCACCATCTCTCCCCCCCACCCCCCACCCCCCAACCTCTCAGGTTGCCCGAGGTCGATCTCTGTAAATTAGTCAGGAGAGACTGAGGAAGCCACTACTATCAGTTCATAAGCCTGGGAAGCCGTGACTTTCATGTGTGTCCAGGATTCAATCCATTTGGACAGTGGGGTTGTGGGTCCCCAACTGACTTTTACTGCCCTAACAGGGGCTGTGTAAAGATTGCCTCCTACAGTGGGGGACCAAATGTCACTAATGATAGTTTGGAAACGTAGGTGCAGAGTCACAATTTTGATACAAAGACCCTGGGACCCTAAACGGGCCTCAGCATGGAATTGGGGCTTCCACTTCTGGCTCCCCGGAGGACTAATTCCTGACCCAGGGGAAATGATTACATTTCAGACCCCACTGCTAGTGGAGGAATGAGACCACTGGAACAGGTTAGTGAAAGGCAACTAGGCACAGACTTTATTCACCTGGGTAACAAAGCCCTAACTCCCTTAGTGCTGAACAAAGTCCTGAACAAAGAAAAGGCAGGAAGCTTTACAGGGGATTGGAAAGGGGTCTGTCACCTACAGGGGCTGGAGCAAACATTTGCGGTCAGAGTTCACACAGCGGTTGAGGCAGATGCATGGATGCTCTCAGGCAACGTGGCATCTGGGAGGTGCTGTGCTGCACTGGGCTGCACTTCGGGGTCGTACCTCTTCCAGTAACGTCCTATTCTGTGTTCCATCCCCCGGGAGACAGCTCGGCTTACATCTGGCTTTTCAGCCACTGGAGGAGTACCCTTCTGCTGAGGGCTGCGGTTTTGTTATCTGTAAAAAACTTTCTGTCTAGATTGGAGTTATGCAGCATATTTTACTAAACAGGTCATGGCGAGACCAAGCCCGACATCCATTAATTTTCGGGGAAAGCCCACTAAGTCTGTTAGGGTAAACTGAGGCGCGACTGAGACCACCGAGTCACAGTTGAGCAACAAGTGAAAGTTATTCCAGCCTAGGTGTAAGTGGCCAAGGGGTCGAGGGTTGGACGAGGGGAGACTTTCATAGGGTGATTTTGGGGCGAGGGAGAGTGGAAAATTTGAGACTTGGAAAGTGCTAGGTATTTCGAGGCCCCCACAAAAGCAAGCGCCCCCCACCCCCACCCCGTCCTCCTCCCCTAATGGCAAACAGGGAACTTCCGCATAACTAAGACATGACCCCTCCTAGTCAGTGACTTTCTGTTCTGCCTAGTTAGGGACTTTCTGGCCCACCAGTTTCGTGACCAGATGTTCCCGTAAGATAGGGACTTCCTGGAACTTGTTACTTCACCCCCCAACCATTCTTGTTGCTATATGCCCTAACCACAATCACCCACCCCCATCAACGGACTAGTGCTCTCCCACCTGCAAAACCCTATTTTAGCCTCCAGCTCAGCCCAGGCGGCTGCTGGTCTCCATTTTGTGAGTCAACACGGCAGACTGCTCCAATAAAGGTTTGCTGCTTGAACATTCGTGTTCCTCCTTTCAGCGACCCTTTCAGAAAGGGGCGGTCTTTCGGGGTGCAGAATGTCTCTTGTACTTGCTGGGCATCCGGGCTTGCAGATGTCGCTGGATATATGTTTTTTTCGAACCCGTGTTTTGGCTTCCTGTTATTGTACATCTCTTGCAGGCGTGAAGGGTGCGGGGGAGACTGTTCTGAGATTTTTTTCTGTACTGCTCCGGCGCCGGCCTGACAGAGTCCATTAAGAAAACGACCAGCTCTGAAAAGCATGGGGTACACTGCTGAAGTGCTATTACGGACATCACGGGGAAGAGCCTGGTCCAGAAGTCCCTGGGTAACAACCTTTCATCTGGGCTCCCTCAGGCAGGCAGGGGTTTGTTTCTCTTCTCACTCTTGGCTCAGCCGAAAGGAAGTGGAGCAGGAGCCAATCAGCGATGAAGGGGCGGCTGCACGAACCGTCCAATCAGGTGGGCCGAGATAGCAGGGCTCTTCCGGTGTCATGGCGCCAAACTGATGCGAGTCTCCCAGCTGGCCAGGCCGCTTTCTTCGGGGACTTCTGCCGGCGGCGGGCTGCGCGGAAGGACCCTGGGCGACCCTCACGCCACGCAATGGTGACGTTGTGGACGGGAGCCCTGAGATGGGATGGCATCGGGGTGAGGTCTGGATGGAAGTGGCAGAACCAACTCTGGTGCCCTAGACTCCCTGCTTAGCTGCAGATCGTAAGGTCTTCCCGGTCTTTGGCTCTGAATCAGCCCCTGTCTCGTTTGCCCTTTGCTGGGGCAGGGCCTGTTCCAAGTCCCCAGCGTGCTGTCCCCACTGCAACATTGCCAGCCCAGAATGCGGTCTTGGGCAGCCCCAGACATCGCTGCATCTCCGCCAGTCTGGGCAGTGGGGCCTCGAGGAGACCTTGATTCGGGTGTGGGTTGAGCTGGGTGCAGCTATGGCGTGCTAGGTCCCTGGTCTCGTTTCTCCCCCCAGCAGACCTGGAGAATCTGAAGTTTATAAATGATTGTGATGCAGCGTCTTATACACACAACTGGTCTCCTCGGACTTCTGCTTTTTAAAATTGATAATAACTTCCTAAACTCCACTGTGGCCCAGCATTGCCAGACTCGTGATAGGTGTTGATAAAGGCCATGAGGATTCAAAGAAATGTTTAACATTGCTGACGATGTGATTCAGTGGCAGCGCGCTTGCCAAGCACTCAGTGAATTCCCAGAAAAATGCTTTCACGGAAAAGCAAAAAAAAAATTATCTTAATTCTTTAGATGAGACCTCTACTCACAATTGGACTATGTGAGGCCTTCCATGGAGTTTAGAATGCTGAGAAAAATGGAGGGTTGTCAATGATTAGCAAAGGCAAGGGAAAGTGTTCTTGCTAACACAGCTTCCAAGAGGGGCTTCCTGTTAAACCTACACAGAGAAACAATGAATTGTAGCATTTACACGGGCATGTAAGTGTGGTATGAGAATGAGTGGAGAGGGAGAGTGGCAATATCTCTGAAATAATTGAGCCCAGCATGTTGAGTAGTTATAAAGGATCCAAGGCTTAATGATGTTTGCTTCACCACCTATATTCTGTTCATTGTCAATGTATTTAACTTTCTTTGGGTTGGTCAAGTTATTTTTTTTCTAACTCAAGTAGTGTCTGTAAACTCATTTTTTAAAACTGTATGAAGTCCTCTGTAGAACATACTACTCATCAGATTGATTGTTTTCTGTTTTTAGTGCTATTTTAGGTCCTCCAGAAGAGTGCAGTTAGGAGAACGATATGAGTACTATTTGGAAACTGGAAGATTTCTCTAGATTTTGAATTCTTTTCTTTGTTTTGGTTTTGTTGTTGTTATTGTTTTCTTTTATAAAGAAGTGTCCCACTCTAATCATACTGTCTTGCTAGCATCATCATAACAAGGGGTAGGATAGAAATTTTCAACAAACGAACACAGAATTGAGCGGTTTGAACACAAGCCATCAAGCACATGTAAGGCTGAAGAGAAAACACTTCCAGGCCTCGTTCTAATTTATGCAGATTCTGGGAGCCCTTCTAACTGTTTTAACCTTTGGTCAATACCTGCCTTTCTACACTGGGTTGACCACTCTTCCAACATTTTAATGGTCTGAAGGCTTGTCTATCTAGCACTTTCACTTCCAAGATTCTTTCCCCTTTGTAGCGATTTATATCTCTGGAGAAAGATGACCACAAGCCTTTGTTATGTATTCCATTAGTGACAAAAGACTGCAATCCTGGAACTCCCTCTAAGTGTCTCCTGGGTTCTCCACACTCTTAGGACAGAACTTCCGTGTTGGTGTCCTGGAGAAGCCCATGGGAAAGGCCTATGGAGAAGGGCACAGCTGAGATAAAGCACAGAGCTTCAATTCAAGGCACCCCTTAGTCTAGCCTTTATGTCTCTCAGTAGGTGTCATCACAGAGGATTAAGCAGTGGAGTTAGTTCTGGCTTTCACACCTCTGAAATCTGAAATGTAGTACAGGTGGGGACAAGGAAAGACTGTGCAAGTACAGATAGAGTACACTGGTTAGAATCACTCTGCTTGAGCTTGGAGTGCAGGGACAAAGTTTTGGTACCTCTTGTGATCTTTGTTTACCTATTCTGGGTACCTTCTCATTCAGGAGCTTATGTGTCCAATGTACCTGCTAAGTCAGTGGTTTTCAGGCATTGGTGATTTTGCACATCAGAAAACGTGGATATGTCTCAACTATTTTTTGTTGAACTCATGACATAGACCATGAGCAAGACTTAGTAGTGTGGGTAAAGGTCAAGCATGTTGATCAGTTTCACACAACACATAAGACAGCCCTTACTAGAAGTAAACATTGGCCCCAAATATCACAAGTTCTGATAGCATGCTGCATGGGAAGGGCCTCAGGAGACCCCTAATCCTGAAGTGATGATGTACAGGGTTCAGTGACCCAAGACAAATGGAAGTTATGGTGGAAGCATAATATCTGGTTGTAGGTGGACAGATCCAGCCTTGGAGGACCTAGGCTACCCTCCCTCAGCATGAGAAGACTTGTTCCTATATGTCAACACCTGCTTGTGTACCTTTGTTCTTTTCTGGCCATCAGGGAGTTGAGACAGCTTCCAGGACCTCAGCATCCTGGCTTGTCCAAATGACATGACTTAAGCATGTCGAGGGCCCTGTCTCAATTAGCTCAGTGCCTCCCTCCACACTTGAAGGGTTTTAGTGAGTCTGATGACTTACATATGAGGTGGCATTGTGCTGTATTGTATCCCTTGTCTTTCTCACCACAGCTAGACCTGTTGTGATGGCTAATATCTAAAATATCCTCAAATGCCTCTTGTGTTTGGGTCTTGATTGGATTGTATGGGCCTTATAGTTTTCAGTCTTTTCCTCCATTGATGAGGTCAGTAGCTTTGAGTTTATATCTTCATTTTTGTTAACTGGGTGATTCAGTGTGGCACCCCTTGAAAACTTCAGAGTGATGACCTATACTAAACACAATAGGGCACACTTTTGAGTGCAACCTACTGCTTCCTCTTGTCTGTGTTTTGTTTTGCTCTTTATTTATATTTTGGGTTTCTTATAGAAGCCATGAGATATTAAGCTTGTGTGTCTGACTTATTTCACTTAACATTATGGTCTCAAGGTGCATCCATTTTTCCCAAAAGTGACTCAAGTTCATCTTTTGTTATAGCAAAGTAGTACTCTATTGTGTGTAACTACCACATTTTCTTTACTCATTGTCCTGTTGATGGACATACAGTCTGCTTCCAAGATTCAGGTATTATGAATAGTGCTGCTATAAACATGGGCATGCATATTTCACTGTAAGTTTTTTAATTTTATGTTTTTACTTACTAGTGACATATGCCATTATATTCACTGATGTTTAGGTAGAAAGAGCTGGGCTATAATGTTCATTAGATTAATTATATTAAATGGGTATTTAACTGTTTTATTCCGAATTTTGTGTGGATCAAATATTACAACTTTGTAACTCAAAGAGCATTGGTAGACTCTTAAACTTTAGCAAAGTTTGGTGCATAGAACACTAACTGTTCTATTCTTTCCTCTGTTCAATGGTATTTTAATCAGTGTACTGTAGTCGAACAATTTCAGTGGAACACATATATATGTATGTATCTGAGTGACTTCTCCAAAGATTCTTATTAGAAGGCAGAATTCTTTTAGACTTTCTTGTTCAATCAGAGGCTGAAAACTCTTATAATAGACTTCTAAAGGACTAAAAGCTGGAGTGACCAATGATTGCTTAGATGAAGAAATTGGAAGCCTTAGAAAAAGAAGAAGCAATAATTCAGCCATAGTTTAATGGAATAGGCTTTGAATTCCCATATGGAGACACTGCTAAAGTCTGTATTCAAAAGCTAGACATCTGGAGTCTAATGTTCATGGATGAGGGGAAGACCAAAAATCACACCTGTTCAAAAAAAGTCAAGTATGCAGAAGCTTTTTCTTTCCACTGCTCTTGAGCCACTCATTACTGGTTTTCCTGGATGTGCCAGTTTTGCTCATTGCAGGTGTTTCCCACTCCAATCAGTGACCCTTATTAACTGTCTTTGAGAAGACCATCACAGACATAAGCAGGAGTGTGCTTTACCAGTGTTTTTGACATGTCTCCATGCAGTCATGCCGAAGGCCATAATTAACAATCAGAAAAGCAAAAGTTAAATAGAATAGCTCCTGCAATAGAGTCAATCATCAATAAATAGCAGCATCATGAACATGTAAGTATATCAAGATTTTAGCATCGTTTCTATGTTTCTGAAGAAAAGCACAAAGATATAGTTTCTCATAAATAGGATCCAAAGTCAGGAATAGGGCCACAATTGTGACCCCAGAAATAGAGCCACCAGTGTGCAGCACAACTATGTGAAGGTAAGAAGCATATGAATTCAATGCATAAACATTGTACCACTGGCTTCACCTAGCAAAATCTTTGATGCAGGGTTTCATTGTTACTGGGACAAACCATCACCACTGCATATCAAGGAGGTAAGATAGACAACTAAGATAATGGTGCTCCCTTCTTATCCACAAGTAAATGTTCTCTCATTTTAGTTCAAGCAGAGTCTGAAAATACTAAATTTATTATTTCAGAAATGAAAAATTGACAAAGTTTATATCATGCTATTTTTAGTAGCATGATGAAATCTCATGCTTCTTCACCACATCATTCACCTTACTTTTTTATTTAGCAGTTATATAATGTCATCTCCTGACAGTATTGGAAAGACTCACAGTCACATGTCATTGATCACACCATATCGTTACACCTCTACTTCAGTATTCTGTTATTCATCTCTACCTGTGTATGTGTTTTCAATTAAATTTTACCATATATATATAAAAATGTTGCTCTGCTATTATCCATTGTTGCAGACTGTAGACAGTAAAACATACCCCCCTTAAGTAAAGGAGCCACTTATCTGTTTATTTTTCATCAAAACAGATAGCTGTAGAGCCGGGGATTTAGCTCGGTGGTTCTGCCACCTGCCTCACAAGCACAAGGTCCTGAGTTCAATCCCTGGTACCAAAAAAAACAAAAACAAAAATCAGATAGCTACATTACTCTTATCAGACAATCTGGATTTCATCAACTGGAAAAGAG